AGGGCATCAAGTGCCACCCAGGCCCACGGCCTCCAGATATCGGCCAAGTCCCCAAGGTTTACAGCGGCCCAGGGCCTCACCCATGCAGCCAGGCCGGCTCACCCTTGCCTTCCCAGAAGTCTGTGCCTAGGGAACGGGATCCCAGCCACCCACATGAGTCCCTTTGACAAAGAGTTTGGGGATAGCGTCCGGGTAGGAAAGCCGAGAGTGACAGTCCTCGTCACAATGCTAAGAGCAAAAGATAGAGCACCTACTATGTGCCGGGCCTGTGCTGGACACCAAACCAGACATTTATTTCTAGAAGCTCATGTCATCCTCACAAGGCTCTGAGAGTATAGGGCCCAATACAGAAACCAAGGCACAGGGACGCTTCATGACTTGCCCCAAACCACACAGCCGGTAGGAGCTGGGATTTGAACTCTGCTCCTGACAACCATGCTCTTGAATTCTATGCTCCGTGATGACCCCCACTCATTGGGCATTTACCATGGACCAAGCTCTTGGCAAAGTGCTGTACCTGTATAAGTTCACTGAACCCTGGAGGCAGCCCCGAGAAGGAGCCAATACTGTTGTTAACCCCATTTTATGGATGGAGAAACCAAGGCTCTGGTATATGAAAGGTTCAGGGACAGGGCGAGGAAGAATGCAGCTGGACTGGAGCAGAGGCGATGCTGGGTTCTAGAAGCTGGGGGAGAGTCAGAACTCCGTGCTGAGCTTTTCTGTAGATGTGCTTGTTTACTTAGCAACTCGGTACCAGGTGATTCCTGCGTCTGGATAAGCGCTATCACCTCTATCCTGGTCTCCTGGCTTCTGCCATTGCACCTCATAGCGGCCAGAGGGCGCCTGTGAGCACCTGAGTCAGGCCAGTTCCCTCTGCTCAGAACTCTCAATGGCTCCCATCTGTCTCAGTACAAAAGCCCAAGTGCACAGGCCATACCCTCTGCCTGAAACATTCTACACGGCTCCCTCCCTCCTGCTCTGGTCACCTTAGGATGGTCTTAAAATTTTCAACTCTGCCTCCAGGCCCTACACCCCTCTTTCCTGCATTATTTTTCTCCTGAGCCCTTCTCTGCCATTCTAAGAATGTCCCTCATTTATCTTAATACCTTGTCTGTTTCCCTTTCCAGAATGTCAGCTACACCACTACAACACCTGCTGTGTCTCTGGGGTCTAGAACACAACCTGGCCCGCGGTACCTGCACAATAACTGTTTGAAGGGAGTTATGAATGAACTCGTTTCTATTAAGTAACCTCTGTGCTCATCAGGGTAACAAACTTCAACCAGAACAAGCCTGCAGACCAAGAAAAATCACTTTCCCTCTCACCTTTGGCCCGGAGCCCAGCTTCCTCTCCCTGGTTTCCCTTTCCTCCTTCTAGACTGTGTCTAAGTACACATGCATAAGCAAACTTGTAGCTCTTTACCACGCCCCCACACCCTGTTTTGTTACACACACTGTTCCCAACTTTGCAATTTCACATGCTAACATAATGGGTCCTTGTTTCCCATCAGGGGGTTCCTTAGACCTACTTCAACTATTTTACAAGGCAACATAGTATCCCACTCCGGGAACAGTACCATTTTTCATTAAACCAGTCTGAGGAACTTTTAAAAATACTGCCCCAAAGCCACACATACACACAGAAATCAATAGGCTAAGCTCGTGCAAGCGACTTCGTGGTCGTGTTACCTCTGGGCTGAGGACAGTTGGCCGAGGGTAAGGGCTCTTTTACTTGGAAGGCTAAAATTTTCCGTGTGGTTGAGGGCTTATTTTTAATTTTCAGCACCCCTCTGCCCCCACAGAGAGAACATACTAATTTTATTATATAAGAGATTAAAATCGTATGTAAAAACAACTCCCCCGGGACACCTGGGTGGCTCAGTCGGTTAAGCGTCTGCCTTCGGCTCAGGTCATGGTCCCAAGGTCCTGGGATCGAGTCCTGCATCAGGCTTCCTGCTCAGCAGGGTGTCTGCTTCTCCCTCTCTCCCTCTGCCTCTGCTCATGCTCACTTGCTCTCTCTTTCTGTCAAATAAATAAAATCTTTAAAAAAATTAAAATAAATTGGGCGCCTGGGTGGCTCAGTGGGTTAAGCGACTGCCTTCAGCTCAGGTCATGATCCTGGAGTCCCGGGATCGAGTCCCGCATTGGGCTCCCTGCTCTGCGAGGAGACTGCTTCTCCCTCTAACCCTCCCCCCTCTCATGTACGCTCTCTCTGTCTCTCTCATTCTCACTCTCTCAAAATAAATAAATAAATCTTTAAAATTTTTAAAATAAAAACAAAAACAACTCTCCCTCTGGGGATTGACTAGGGAGGAGCACAAGAGAAATTTCTGGGGTAATGGGAAGGTCCTTACTTAAGCTCTGCAAATTTTCTTCTGTTAAGGACACATATTTAAGATTTTAAGCTTTGTGGTTCACATATCATCTCGGTCACATATTCCTTTTAATTTTTTTTAACAACAACTTATAAACAATGGAGCCATTCTTAGTCTATTGGCTTTACAAAAACAGGCCTCAGCACAACAATGAGAATATACTTAGCACTATTTTTTTTAAGATTTTATTTATTTATTTGACAGAGACACAGCGAGAGAGGGAACACAAGCAGGGGGGGTGGGGGAGGGAAAAGCAGGCTTCCCGCCGAGCAGGGAGCCCGATGAGGGTCTCGATCCCAGAACCCTAGGATCATGACCTGAGCCGAAGGCAGATGCTTAACGACTGAGCCACCCAGGCGCCCCAGCACTATTTTTTTTTTTTTTAAGTAGGCTCCGTCCAGCACGGAGCCCAACACAAGGGCTTGAATTCAGGTGACCCTGAGATCCTGACCTGAGCTGAAATCAAGAGTCAGAAGCTTAAATGACTGAGCCACCCAGGCACCCCTATACTTAACACTATTGAAACGTACAACTTTACAAATGATTAAGATGGTAATCATTAGGGGTGCCTGGGTGGCTCAGTCATTAAGGGTCTGCCTTCGGCTGAGGTCATGGTCCCGGGGTCCTGGGATGGAGCCCCACTTCCAGCTCCCTGCTCAGCGTAAAGCCTGCTTCTCCCTCTCCCAGTCCCCCTGCTTGTGTTCCCTCTCTCGCTATGTCTCTGTCAAATAAATAAATCTTAAAAAAAAAAAGATGGTATGTTTTATGTGATGTTTCTCACCACAGAAAAATTAAAACTAAAATAACAATACTGATTGACCCCTCCCTGGACATGAGGGGCTTTTGGGGGGCTGTTAATATTTTTCTTCCCCCCAACAAAATCTGGGTGCTGATTCCACGGGTGTGTTCACCTTGAGGAAACTTCTGGACCCTCATACATTTAGGATGTGTCCTTTTATGTATGAATTGTCTGCTTCAATAAAAAGCTCAAAATATTCCCCTTGATTGGTTAAATGTAAGACCAGTTCAATATAAGACGGTCCATCCACAAATGCACTATTTTACGCAACTGTCAGAAAACACTGAGGAAACTTAACCAGGCACTGACATGAGAAATGTCTCCAAGACATATTAAACAAAGAAAGCAACCAAAAACAAAACAACAACAACAAAAAAAAAACAAAGAAAGCAACATGTGAAACAAACACCTTTTCATTCATAAGTGTCTGTGGAATACCTACTAGGTGACAGGTGCTGTGAATATACCTTCAGACACACAGACACACAATCCTGCCTCATGGAATTAGCATGCTAGAGATTTGCTGATATTTTTGTAAAAGGAAAAAAAAAAACCCAGCCACTAGATAAAATATATGTATATAATCTCATGTAAAGTTCTAAGGCCTAGACTCCATTTGGAAGAAAGCACAAGATGCTGGAACAGTGATGCATGCCAAGAAGGGTGTGTCACACTGGGAGAGGGAGCAAGAGGGAGACTTTTCATGATAAAGCTACACCATCTTTTTATCTTTTGTATTTTGAAGCATATGAATACTTTTGAAGTACAACTTTTGGAAAGAAATAAACAACAACAACAACAACAACAACAAAAACCCACCTTTCAATTAATAAGTAAATATCACCTCCCAACAATATTTTTTTAAAAAATCAGATGCCAGATCCCCACGGTCACCCGAGTTGGACTCTAGCAAACGGGGCCAGGGAATCTGCTTTTTAAACAAGCACTGTTACTGCTGTCTAACCTACCACTGCACCCCAGCCTCCTGAGAGTCCATTGTCTTGGGTTCTAGAATCTTTTTCCATGATCATGCCGAGGGTGGATGGGAAGGATGGCAGTACCCGTTGCTGTCATCCATCAGGGCCAGGAGCCATTTCTCTGGTCTGCTCCATGCTGCTGCCTCCTCTTGGTGTGGTGTCTGCTGAGGAGGGAGCTTCCTGCCCTGCCCAGGCCAGCCAAGTCTATGCCTGGACAGAGAGGGCTGCTTTTCCATCAGCTCATGGAAAATCCACGTCCCCAGGATTAGGGGCCCCAGAGGCCTCTTGAGCAGGTAGAGCCTACCAGCCACTGTGCAAAATGCTGCCCCCCAGTGAGCGTGGTCTGCCCAGCCCTGCAGACAAGGATCCAGAGTCTCAGAGATATCACCAATTCTCCCATGGCCACATAACTCCTAAGTGTCAGAACCAGGATTTGAACCTGGATCTGTCTGACATCACCCCCTCCCCCTAAATTCATGGTAACTGATGGATGGGAAGGCATTGGGATACAAGGGATATGTGAGTATTGGGATTTGTGAGCAACTCTTGCAACACCATTCCCAAAGGAAAGTTCCTCATTATCTGGCAGGGACTTCGTGTGGCAGCCTGAAGGGCCCAAGGTTTTTGGTTCTGGTGAGAATGGACTATTTACAAACTAAGTGAGATCTGCCCTTCCCCCCACTTCAAGGAGTCAAGCCAGGCGGCCCCTCTAGAGGAGCTGATGATAGCCTGGATGTAAGACCTGGCTGAAGCCCCTACCTCAGGCTTCCTTGTCCCTTAGAGAAAAATAATTGAGTAGCTGTATGGTTTGTTTGCTGTTCCTTCTGCCTAGAACACACTTCTCCCAAATCTTCCAGCAGCCATTGGCTCCAACTCCAGCCCTTGGTCACCTAAAATAATCCCAGATGATTCTCCCACACACATGCTGTCCTGTTTAATGCTCCACAACACTTGTAACAACCTAAAATCATATATTTATTCAAAGGTTTTTCTGCTTTGTTCACTGCTGTGTTCTCAGTGTCTAGACCCTGCCTGTAAGACGCTCAATAAATACTTGTTGATGGAATGGGCTTCCGGCACCCAGCACAACCTCTGTTGGGCACAGAGGTCCCCTGTCTGGAGTGTGGGTCTGGCAGGGCCTGGGAGGGTTTGCTTGGGCCCATCCAGGGCTGGCTCCCTTTGGCCAAATTCAAGGCTTGGTGAATCACATCACTGTCCACTCTGCCATCCCCCGCCCTGCCTTACAGAGACCCAAGATCCCTCAGGTGCTTCCCACAGGAAGGCAGGGCCCGGCCAGGACTTCAGGTCGAGATTCCCAGATCAGAGACAGCCAGCCACACCCAAGGGATGCACAGCACCCACAGACTCAGGGTCTGAGGCTTGAACCCAAAACCAAAAGCAAGGAGGCCCCTGGAGGTTGGGCCAGTAGCTTCAAGCAGGGAGGGGAGTGGCTGGGCAGTGGCCAAGTTCCTATGTTTCCCTCTAGGCTGGACTGGGCAGGAAGGGTCCCAGCCTCCCCCATCTATCTGTCTCTGCAACCTGCTGAGGCCACAGGCCCTGGTGGCCTTAGCCAGGAGGGAGGCACATCTCTTGTCAGCTTGTTTTTCTTGATTATTTTTGAGCGGTTTCCTGCCCCCTCCCCAAAGCTTTCTGTCTCATAGTTTCCAGGAAGTTCCTGTCACACGAGGAGGGGCAGCGGCGCCCCTTCGTCCCAGGGGAGTGCTACGTGGGCCATGTGCCCAGCTCAGCCCTGGGACCCAAAATGGAGAAAAGAAAGGAGAAACTGAGGATGGCACTCCTCTCCGTGGGAACCCAGGGGAAGGAAGCACTGTAGGGCGTGGGTAGGGAGAAGCCTCATCTTGGCCCCAACCCCTGGGCACGCAGGCAAGCCACCCGCAGAGGTTCGTGGAAGGGGGATCCGCGTCGCAGGGACCTCGCGAAACGGTAGCGGGCACCCCCAGTCCCTTGCACACGGCCAGGAAAGTTTCTCAATGGTTTCCTGCTTCTTTACTGCCACCTCAGCGAGGGCGCCCTTCTTTCCGTCCTTCCAGGCCGCTGGCAAGAACTGATGGGCTTCCACCCCCCCCCCAGCAATCGGTCTGTCCAGGCTTGCCTCAGTTTCCCCATCTCGCCAGAAGCCCGGGACGGCTACTTCTCGGGGGATGCGGGCAGGAGAAAGAAGTGGACTAAGGCAACCAGAAGAGGAGGGGGACTGGGGAAAGTCGGGGCCCTATCCCTTTTCCCGAGCCCGGGTTGCCAAGCCTCCCCTCCCCCGCCTGGCATCTGAGCCGCCCAGATAACCGGACCTCCCCGGGCGGAGCATGCGCCGTGCGTCCCGGCCCATCAGCCGGAGGGGGTGCGGGGGGTCCCGGGAGAGGGGACGCGGGGCGACCCGGCGGGAGCAGGGGGGCATGGGCTCCGCGCCGAGCGGAATGCTGGGCCGGGAAGCAGAAGAGGGCCCCCAGCTCCAGCGCGGGTGTTTATGATCTCCGAGGTACCCCTCCCCCAAGGCCCCCCAACTCAGCAGAGGTGACCGCGGGCCCGAGGCGGCTCCTACCGTAGGCTCCGTCCTTGCGCTCGTCCTCCATGGCCGCGTCGGGCGGGGAGGGGAGTCCGAGCCGGAGCGACCCCAGCCCGCGCGAGCGGGAGGCTCCGCGGGCTGCAGCGCCCCGCCCCAGGCCCGGCCCCGCCCCGCCCGCCGGGCCAGCCCCGCACGCCGCCGCCAATGGGAGCCCGGAGCAGGCCGGGGCGGGACGTGGGGCGGGGCCGGGCTCGGGAGAGGGTGGGGCCCCAACCTTTGTTTCCCATCGGCGCTCAAGGAAGACTGTCTCATCGGTGTGTTCGGTGCGCTAGAGGCAGTTGTCACCCGTTCATTCATCCACCTCTTCACTCATCAGATAGATACTGAGCGCTGACCGTGTGCCAGTGAACAGACCAAAAAATGCCATGTTTTCATTCATCAGATTGGCAAGAATTTGAGCGTCCGGTAACAACCAGCGGGCTGAGCACATGCTGTGGGTCAAAATGTTATCTGGCAGAAACGATTAAATCCGGGGCACCTGGGTGGCTCAGTCGGTTAAGCGGCTGCCTTCGGCTCAGGACATGGTCCCCGGGTCCTGGGGTCCAGCCCCACATCGGGGCTCCCTCCTCAAGGGGGAGTCAGCTCTTCCCTCTTCCTCTCTTCTGTGCGCATTCTCTCTCTCTCAAATAAATAAATAAAATATTTAAACAAAACAAACACTTTATCACAGCTTTATTCATAAGGACCAAAAATTGGAAGCAACCCAAATGTCCATAAATGGGTGACTGGCTCAGCACACCGTGGTCCATCCGTACCAAAAAACAGCCCTCAGCAGGGGCGCCTGGGTGGCTCAGTCGATTAAGCGACTGCCTTCGGCTCCGGTCATGATCCCAGGGTCCTGGGATCAAGCCCCGCATCGTGCTCTTGCTCTGCAGGGAGCCCGCTTCTCCCTCTCCTCCCCGCTTGTACTCTCTCACTGTCTCTCCTCTCTCTCTCAAATAAATAAAATCTTTAAAAAAAAAATAGTCCTCAGCAATAAAAAGGCATCAACTACTGATAAGTGCAATGGCCCCGATGAGTCTCAAAAAAAAGGATGGTGCTGAGTGACAGAGGCCAGGGATTTCTGAAAGAAGTTCTAGGACAGGCATAGCTAATCAACCGTCGGGAACTGGTAACTGAAAGTTGGATTAGTGGTTGCCTTTATGGGTGGTAGGGCCTCTGGGGCAGCTTGGGGGGAAGGGGACCGGAAGCAAGACTGTGGTTACACAGGTGGGTTCAGTTTGTGGCAATCACTTGACTTCTGCTCTTAACACGTTTCATTTTAAAAATGGAAAAAGTGTAAATAGGAAAGAAGGAGGTGGCCCCGCAGGTTGTGTAACAAGAGTGAATGTTTATAGGGAGCTTACTCAGCCTCAGAAGAGGCATTACATGCTTTGTATTTGATCTTTATAATCATTTTCCAATTGGGGAAAGTGACACAAAGAGGTTAAGCCATTTCTTAAGTACTTTGTATTAAATCCTCGCAACCCTTTTCCAGTTGGAGAAGATGACACAGAGAGGTTAGGTAATTTCCCCCACAGTCACCCGCGTAGTGAGTGTGGGGGTATACATGGATTTGAACTCATGGAGCCTGACTTCACAACCCGCAGGCACTCTGTAACCCTGCCAGAGGAGCCCGGCTAGATTTCCAGGTCCCAGTGGTTAGTAAAAATAGCAAGTTGTATTTAGTTGGTTAGTTGTGAAGTGAACAGTATGGGGAAAAGAGAGAGATACGACATCACACACACACACACACACACACACACACACACACACACACACACAC